AGACTTCGATGTAATCATCATTTGCTTCTTGTAATGTCCGGAAACAGGCGGCGACCGACTCCTGGAGCGACGCAATGGGGGCTCCATTTGGGGCGACTTAGAGGGCGAACGAATCCTCTGATGGCTCGACGTGTCCGGCGTTTGACTTCTGGAGCGCCGCAACGGTTCCATAGGCGGAGACATTGGCGGTGACTTCGATGGCGAGCGCGCCTTCTGATGACCGGACACTTCAGGCGATTTACTTCTGGAGCGTCGGATCGGTTCCAACGGCGGTGTCTTAGTTCGCGACCGTTTCGCCGGAACAGTGGTCCGCTGTTTGGGTGGTCTCTGATCGGCGGATCCGCTCACTTCTCCCTCTTCCTCCTCGACCTCTCCCTCTTCCACTTCCATCTGATCATTGAATGGCAAACAAATAGACATTAAAAATACGAACTAATGGCAAGACATGTCTGAATGGATACCCTATCGGACAAAATGTCGTCGTTTTCCGAGACGTCGTCGTATTGAACGAGAGGTTTATTAGTGATTATCTGTGGCTTCGGCTCGAAGTCGTATTCTGTGTCAAACGAGTGGTGATTGCGATGCCGTCGGCGGTGACTCTTATGGGAGGACGAGCTCTGAACGACGACTGCGGATGCGGTGGTCGGCGACGACTGCACTGACGTCTTGTGTTTGCGTTTGCGGCGGTGTTTGTGTCGGTGTTTGTCTCCCTTATGGCGCCGACCGCTGCCATCCCTGTGGTGTCGGCGCCGCCGATGGACCGCCTGTTGCGAGCTCTGGCCGTCCGCCTCATTGTCGTCGTTGTCCTCGTCGTACGGGTTGTCGTCGTTTTGACTCAAATCCAAGTCTTCGTCGCCCGAAGAGATCGGTGAATGAATGGTGGGTCCCATCAGCGCATCCCTGGCCAACGATGCAATCAATTGATTCAATGGTCTCTTCGCTAACAACACAATCACTTCTCAAACGTCTTTTGCGTTCATTTGTGTCTCAATAGTAATGTCTGAATGACTCGTAAACTGTTCACTCGTTTCAGTGTCTTTCAGCGTTGGAAATCACATCATATTATCGCTCACTATATTCGTCGTGTAATCAATGACTCAATGGTGGCGTGAATTGAAGACACCACTCACGAGGAAAACGACAATTCGTGAGATTTGGTCACAAAAGCAATGACTGTCTGTCTGTCTGTCTGTCTGTGAGTGGAGTGACTGTCGGAGCGATGATTGCATTCACAGCGAAATCAATGCAAAGAATGGAAACGAAACCAAAATTATGTTTTTCGCTGTATTTCTGCTGTGAGTATGGCTTTCAATGTTAACCCCATTGGCGCGCATGCGCTCCACTCCCCTCTTTCAGACTACCTGTCCGTCAATGCGTTTCAGTAATGTATTGTTAACTCATTTATTAACTACTGTTGTGTCGCTCAATACGGGTTGCTATCAAATTAATGCCTTAATTGCTGACAAATTGGTTGAGCTTGCTAACTTTGCTCATAATTTTGCATGTATTGTATGATTATTTACTTGTTCCTATTGGTTGATACCACTACAGTGTAGCCCTCTATGAACCCTAACAAACTGATCATGGTGAATATTCTAGAGTCCAGAATCCTAATGTGAATCATACGCTATAAGTTCATTAAGTTTTCATTTATTATATTTACGATTAAGTTTAGCTAAAATATTTATGAACATTTCTGTGACTATCTAATTGACGCGGGTATAATTAATGTGAGCCTGGTGCTTTTCATACTAGGATTACAGTACACTGATAATCTATGATAGGTCTTAAGTTTACCCTACTTTGCCCACAACTGCTTGAATATTTATAATTATAATAAATTTGTGTGAAACGATTCTGTAGTGACAACAGGATTATATGCATAAAAGTATTTTGATGAGTAAATTGCCATAAAATGTTTTATACAGCATTAGAGTGAGTGGTGTCAGTGGACTACAGAATATAT